GGAGAACGAGAAAGCACTAGGCTTTTCGTTTTAGATGCGTTCACACGCATGCCGGTCACGTCGTACTCGATTGCGAACCTTTCTGTGGAGCACTGTTGATCAGTTAATCTTTAAAGAAACAATAATTCTGATCATCATAATGTTCAGGGTGTTACACTGCATTTAAATTTTATGAAAATAAATCGCAATGGTTCGGATTGAGCTGGACCTATGTTCAAGGGCCATAATAAATAAACTATGGAAAACAACTACAGTGGGCAATTACTGTGCAATGATCGCAAGATGGTTCCAGTACATCTGAAGAATTATTGATTTGTACTCTAGCTACAACCGTCAAGTGTGGGTTGTTCAGTCTTGCCCTTCTTCGCCAACTGCTGTGTTTTATTACTTCACAGTGATGATATATCTTAATCGGTAAGACGGTAATATGCCTGTGTCAACAGAGTTTTATCTTCCGCTTACTGAAGTCTCTTTTGTACCACAGCTCTTTCTTGTATTTCCAGTCTATGGCATGACCTCCTTTCCTTCTTGCACGATCAGACGTGTTCTCTCGAATGGTTTCTTTCACATTTTCAATTTATTTTCATCTGTTTTCTATCAAACCATTTTAGGCAAGGATGATTAAACAGTTTTATTAAATAATGAAGACGAATGAAAGAAACAATCTAATTGATACTCTCTGCATGATATAAGGGAATGAAAATAAAATGGCGTTATTCATGACATGTAAGTATTCAACTCCTCAGAAATTAGGCATTGCAGCATTTCATTGGCTTGCACAGTTATATGATCATCCTTTGAACAGTTGATGAAATTTATAATGTTTCTGTTTCAGACATGTACTATTGTATATGCAAATGAGTCATAACTACTAGTTGTTATGATTCGCTCTGTCAGCTGTTGCTTCAATAAATTATTTTGCTTTTATGAGTACTCGAGCAACCGTAGTTTATATGATAAATTGCAATACTGCCATTTAATTGTTCCTGTTTAAAGTCGACTTCGGCAGATATGATATGTAGTTGAATCGTCTCTTTAGGTCTGCAAGATTATCACCAAGCGTCGGCTTATATTCAAGCACAATTCGAAGCGAAAAACAAATCCACGAACAAAGAGATATATTGCCATATGACCTGTGCAACTGATACAACCAACATTCAGTTCGTGTTCGATGCGGTCACCGATGTGATCATTGCCAACAACCTTCGTGGCTGCGGTCTCTATTGAATGAATGATGCTGTTAAACTATGCAGCCAAGAGCCCGGCAAAATCGGATTAAGAATAAGATTAATAATGCAAATGTACTTCTTTCGTTTTGCGAATTGTTCACTGTTTAAATGATGCCATGACATGGTCACGTTTTACCTGATCTCTGCGTTTTGAACTACGCACGCCGCATAGCTTGAAAGTTTGAATATAAATGGTGCGTGATCGCCATTATGCCGGCTATCACAGCTGTCTTTGAACGCACCACACTACGTAGGTTCTAAGGTAACAGCAGTTACAGTATTTTGGAGCTGATACTGATGTGTATGTTGTTTATATGATCTTCATATTTATAGTACTAACGATTTGTTTGAGCCTCCTGTCGCTTTTGTAATTTCATGCAGCGCTAAGATTTTACGTCTTATCACATTAACGTGCTTCAGTAAGATTCTTTTATATTTCTACACGGCGTACAGCACATAGAAACTGACTCCAATACATCTGTTTTAACTAGGGCAAAGAAGTATTAAATAAACTGCTCATCGGTGCTGCTCAGTGACCTTCATCTTAGATGGAAGTATTTGCAATACGGTGTAATGCGTGTTAACCCTGAAATAAACAATGACTTTGCTGATTTGATTCTGTATTTAAAAGTTGGTTGCGTGGAGTTTGAAACCTGGTGACCGACATGAGGTAAGTAACTGAAGGCTCTGGTAGTAAAGTACGATGTGGCAACTTCCTTCCGTGAACTATTGTGATCGGAAAGACATGACAACACAATTCAACACGAACGATGTGATTTATCGTTTAGAAGTCAGAGCCAGAAGGAAACGAGCATCTTTCGTTTACTTGCTCTGGCTTAGTGCGATCTTCGCATGCAAATGATGTTTTCAGCACTCCCTCGTGGAAGCAACCTCGGAATATTGGGATTGTATGTTGTTTCATTTTGGTTAAACCACGTGTTTAATGTTTTTGATATTATGCAGTGCAGTGTATTGATTCTCTCTGCAGTCGTGATCCAGAAGTTGTCGTTGTTTTTCACAGAGCGTAAACAGCAGAGTAGCCCAGATTTATGCCACCTAACGGTTATTTATCTGATTTATATTAGGTAGCGTTCACTGTTGCGGCAAAGGTCATTCCTCCTCTGAAGCAGGTCAATCTCAACGAGGACATTCCAAGTATGATATTGTCCTCCAAGGAGACTGTGTCCCCTTCTGCAGTTCCACAGAGAAAAACGTTTTGCATCAATTTACATTCACATTTTGAACCGTTTTATCAGACAACCCCTAAAGCTGATTTCTGAGCCAATCTGATAGTTTTCTCAGTTATTTAAAGCTGTTAGTTGGTTATCTGGTCATGCGAGCTTCAAGACGGTTCAGGGTGGCAAATGTTTTGAGACCATACATAAGGGCCGCGAACACGGTTGCTTCCAAAACAGCGATTTTCGTATCAATTCTAACAGTAAAATTCTTCTGTATGTCATACAACCGGCGATGATTCGCTGGAGCCAGTACGATATGTCGATTCACTGGATGATCAATGTCGCAATCATTAATAAATACAGTTCTGAGATAC